TCATTAGCACCTCTAGTAATATATTTACTGAGAAAAATGGTGACGTGTTCAATACTTATTTTACCCGCTTACCCGATTCTTCTTTGCTTGATAGAGCTTTAAGCAGCATTGGTGGATGTCACAGTGAACTGATTAGTAGAAATGTTCCTGAGACCATCATACTGATATCAGACTACAGATTCATGAAAGCTTTTTTAGAACAGGCTCTGTCACACTAAACAACTTATGAACATTTTAAAGATGTTGAAGCTGGAATTGAAAAAAAATCAACAGGAAGCTTCTTTTAAGTAATTCTAACAGATCAAATATATAACTTTTCTTAGTAATTTAGACATAAAAAGGTTTAAGTTAAGTGTGACGGGCCTTATAATGAACTGTAGATGACAGGATATTCAGTCTTAATTTATGATTGAATTTTATTATTCAGAAATTGACTATTTTAAGACATGTTAACAGACGTCTGATGACCTTTACTGCTGATTGAGCCTCTTCAGACAGCTCTTTGTAAACCCAGTCCTCAGCTGACCTGTCCATAACTGACACTTCATCATAAAATGCTCCTCCAGCTGTTTTAGTCTTCTGTACCTCTTTTACAGATGTTTGTTCCTGTCCCAACGTTTTGATGTGTTGCTGCTCTCCTCTAATTACATGTACAGTTTCTCAGTTTAAACATTTGACATGTTTTAATGTGAATAAAATGATTAGACATTCTGTTCTGGTCACATTTTAAAGTCCCAGCATGTTTAGAACTGGGGTTGTACGTTCACCATCAGCCATGATTTCCTCTGAACTTTCCTCAAACAGGTGCTTTGTTTGCTGAGTCGTCACTAACACAGGAAGGTTATTGTCTTTATTTTCTAGTTTAAATGTAGGTTAGTGACAAACRTCTGTCAGAAAAGAACAGGACGTATACGTCGTTTTGTTGTAAAACTACAGATCCTCKCCTGACTGGTCCCAGCAGATGGTTCTGGTCTCTAAAGGCACTTCTCCCTGCTGCTGCTTGCTGATGTTGGGAAGTGAAACTCAAGGTTGATGCAGTGTTTTCTTATACAGTCTTCATATAAATACTAGTTTTCTTATAAACATGAATAAATCTACTGAATTTAGCAGAACTGATTTGTATTTTAGTATGTCTTTAATTATAAACAGCCAGGATGGGTTTGTATTTTAAATGAACTTGTGGATGTTTTCTGAGGAGTTTCATAGAGGCTGAGARTGGTCAAACTGTTATTAATTTAAATCTGATTGTCTCAAGTTAACAAGTTAAAAATGATTTTATCCTAAGTGAGTCAGAACACTTAGAGCTGATCTATAACTGTAACGTGTTGAGCARTGATGTTCCTTCATGTCTGAATTAGTTTCCATCATGACGTCCTGATTTCTAATGAAGTGCCTCCTTTCTTTGTGATTTTGAACTAGCTGTCATGAGAAAACAAGCTTAACTGCATGTTATAAATCACTCTTTAATTCTATATATTTCACAGTCATTCATGTAAAAACAGAATGTGTTTGAAGGTTTGAAATACAGGATTTTTTTAAAAAACAATGAGTTAAAACATTTTCTATATAAAAGTGAACATCAGAACACTAATATGACAGTTAAAGATGAAATGACCTTCCTTTATCATCAGGGGCAGAGCTAGACTTTTTTTGAAAGGGGCCCCAAAGGGGTGGCCAAGGTTTTTTAGAAGACACATACAAATACAGAGAAGCCCTCTGGATTTTAAAATATCAAAATGACTGCTACAGCTTGTTCCAAATGGCTTTAACTCAGTTGTTTTAAGAAATTTTGAGCTGAAAGTTTGTCTGATCAAACCTAAGAATGATTAAAAGACATTCTGAATGTAGTTACAGCTTATGTCTTAGTCAGCTGTTTTAGACATACAGAGCTGTATATATATATATAT